AAAAAAAGTGTAAAAAAAAAACATATTTACCATGATTTTGAACTTCTTTCAAAAATAATTAATGATCTTTACAAATTTTTGCTGCACACCTAAAATCCTCTCTTAGCACACTGCTTAAAAATCACTGCTCTACAGGTATGTACCACCACGCATCTGAATATTTGGTATGAGAAATAAATATGAAACATTTCATTAATAATTTTTTCATTGATCACCTACATTTTGGACATATTGGGTTAAATGATTACATTAATCTCACTTGTTTCTTTTTGCTTTTTAAAATGTGGTTGTTAGAAAATATAAAATTAATTATGTTTCCTTTGGAAGGTGCCAAACTAATTTAATCAGATCAAGTTAATCAAACTGGCCTAATCGACTAAATTGATCGAACTGCACTAATCAGAATGATTTAACCAGACTGAGGTGATGGGGCTAATTTGATCATGCTGAACTAATCAGAACTGTATTGGACTAAGTTAATCAATAAATGAGGCTAAACTAATTGGACCAACTCAATCAAACTAAACCCATCAAGCTGGAATCAAACTAAACTAACCAAGCCATCAATCACACCAAACTAATCAAACTGATTTCAGTCAGACTGAACCAATCTGACTCAGCTAAACAGGCCGTCTATCAGACTGAACTAATCAGTCTAATTTGATCAAACCATTTAGACTAAACTAATCAAACTGAATCCATTGGACAGAACTGATCAGACTTAACTATTCAAACCAAACAGATTATACTGATTTGATCAGACTAAACCAGCCAGGCTAATTCAATCAGACTAAACTACCAGGCCAAGTCAACCATCTAAACTAATCAAGCTAAACCAATCAGGATGAACTAACCAGAGAAAATTAATCAGATTGATTTAACCCATCTCAACTGATCAGGCCAGTTCAATCAGACTAATTCAACCAGACTGAACTAATCAGACTAATTTATCAGACTGAACCAACTGGGCTAACCAGCCTAATCTAATTAGGACAGCCCATTCAGGCTAATTTAATCAAATTGTTTTAATTGGATGAAATGAAGGTCATTTGAGGGTCACTTGGCGGTCTAATGAAAGTCATTTAAAGGTCAAATGATGGCTATCTGAAAGTCAGTGAAGGTCATTTAATGGTCACCTAGAAGTCAGATGAAAGTTACTTGGAGGTCACCTGGAGGTCAAATGAAGGTCACCTAGCTAAAAAAATTCTTTGTTGTTTTATTTAATAAATTAAAATTTAACCAGATGTGCAGTGTTTTTGTCTGCTAGATGTTGTAATCCTAATGAATAGAGTGAGTTCATCAGTGGATGTAACAAGATTTGTGATATTGTTGGTCTGAGGAGCTATTAGCTGTGACTTCCCAATAAAGAAATGAAGAAGGCCACTTAAGATCTCAAAGGCAAGAAATACTTTTGCCCATTTTCTTGGTACCATGTTAAAAAGTTAATAATGCAATATATATCGATTGAAGCAACCAAAGATCTGAACAATTATTCATCCATAAAGACGACCTTTGAATCTGAAAAGAAAGGAAATACTCAATTGACTTCAAAATAGGGTGTAGTGAATAATAAATTCATTCAGCAGGACGCAGTGAAATGAAGTTGAATCTAAAGTTATTTTAAGAGTGTTGATATGGATATTCCTTGACATGAAAGTGAATATTGAATGCCAAATACAGGTTACTGAAAATTTATTTTTACTCTCCACTCTCGCTGAAATTAGGATCCCTTCAGAATTTAGTGGTGGCCAGGTGGAAAAGATAACATAATTGTCATCAATGTGCATGTGAGCAATTAATCTTTGCTGGTTTCACCTCAGTTGAGTTATCTGCATTTTGCTCCAACACATTTTGAGTTTGCCATTTAAAAGTTCTTCAACAATTATACTATAATTCAGGATTGAAATGAAGTTTATTTGTATGTAGAAATGCATGAAAACAAAATAGGGACTAAATTTTATTTTAGTGATACAAATTTTCTTTTTGTTCTGGAGAAATGAGAACAATGTTTTTTTTGAGACAGAGTCTCACTTTGTCACCCTCAGTAGAGTGCCTTGGCGTCATAGCTCACAGCACCTCCAATTCCTGGGCTCAAGTGATCCTCAGCCTCCCATGTAGCTGGGACTACAAGTATCTACCGCAATGCCCAGCTATTTTTTTTTTTTAGAGATGGGGTCTTATTCTTACTCAGGCTGGTCTCAAACTCCTGACCTCCAACAATCCACCTGTCTTGGCCTCCCAGAGTGCTAGGATTACAGGTGTGAGCCGCCGAACCTGGCCACAGTTTTACATTTTCTTGCAAAGCAATGACCAAGTCCAGATAAAGGGTGCTGTGTTTTGCTACTAAGAAATGTGCAAAAGTATTGCCTATCACAGGTCAGTAAGGCAACTGAAGGTAACAAATTTGGTCCTGGGACAATTAAGCAAGGACAAGAAAAACTGAGGACAGAGCTGGAGAGGAGAGGCCAGCTCAGCTCTGGGGACCCAAACTGCCATGTACAGTGTACTGACTTCTGATTCTGTTTGGTCCTGCTAAAACAAAGGGTGGGAGAAATTGAGAAGGCCCTACATGGTGCCTAGAACTCTCCAGCTGTTCCTCTCAACACCCAAAGTTACTCTGAGTGACAGCAGGAAGAATGGTGGTGGGTGAGAGGGCACAAATGGGCAAGTGTGGTGCCACCACTTAATTGGTGTATCTGTTTTCTAGAACTTGGCCTAGTCACTTGGGAGATTTGAGTAGAGAGGAATCCTTGAAGCCTAGGCCAAGGGCCAGAATTTACACTCTGGGCTGGCCTTAAATCTCTGATCCAAGAGTCCTTCTACCCAGCAAAGTGAAGAAGGGGACTTGCAGCAGCCAGACTCCACAGCCCCAGTGGCAGGGTGGTCTCTGTGATGATGAAGCATTTCGTGCCCCCTCCACCAGCAACCAATTCAGTGTCTCTTCTCTCAATTTCCTCTGTAATATCTGCTCTTATCCATGACCTGTGCATTTCTCTGAACAAAGACCCCTGACTATCATCTGTCTTTATTGTTCTGATCACTCTACCTTTATTTTACTCCCATTCTTGGGCCTGCCTCTTCCAACCTAGGTGCCGTGTAGACCATGTAGACCATGTTCCTTCTTTGTCCCCTGTGCCCACAGTAGGGCATTTGGCCTGGTGACTACCATGATCCCTTGTGTCTACCACAATCCCCTGTGCCTCCCACAATCCCTGGTGTCTCCCATGATCCCTATGCTTCCTGTGGTCACCTGTACCTCCCACACTCCTGGCCCACAGCAGCAGACTCAGCCCTGTGTGTCTCCCATGATCCCTAGGCCTCCCACAATTCCCTGTGTTTCCCATTAGCCCCTGTGCCTCCTACCTCCCTTGTGCCTTCCACAGTTCCCTGTTTTTCCCATGAGCCCCTGTGCCTCCCACAATTCCCTGTGTCTCCCATGAGCCCCTGTGCCTCCTACCTCCCCTGTGCCTTCTACAGTTCCCTGTGCCCACTGCAGATGCTCCACATCATTTGTGCTCCCATGATCCTCATTGATTCCCACTATCTCCTGTGCCCTCAAGTAGAAGATAGTGTCCCCTAAGTACTGCCTTGGCTCTAATGCTTCTCCATTGCTGATGGAATCATTCCTTCTGTTCAGCCTGGTTGCCAGGGAATATTTGGGCCTGGCCTAAGCTCAGCAGCATGTAAGAGCTGGTTGCAGTGGCACATGCCTGTAATCCCAGCTACTTGGGCGGCTAAGGCAGGAGGGATTGCTTGAGCCTAAGAGTTTGAGTTCAGACTAGGCAAATTAGCCATATCCTATCTCTAAATATAAAAATAAAAATACATCTGTAAGATCTCTTGCAGGCAAAACTGGCTATAGGCTGCTTTATAGAACAAGGAGCATTTTGTAATCTGCAAGCCAGGGGAACCACTTCAGAAAAAAGGCTAGAAATGGCGGATTTCCTGAAAAAGATGAGATATGACAAACTGAAGTGTTTCTCCTTCAAATTCCTTTTCAAAACAAAAATGTTGCCTATATTCCCTTTTCTTGTTTGTTTTTAATCAAAACCCCATGTGTAAGGAGAGTAGTATTACAAAGCAGAAACAGACAAGATTCTTCTACAGAGGCCCAGCTGCCCCTCCAAGAGGGGTCACTCAGAAATCAGTGTGCTACCGTCGATACCTGAGGTGAGCACCTCACAGGGGCTGTTGCTCTCCTGCTGTAGTAGCTGGGCTTCTCCTCAGTCACACTGTTCTTTGGACTCTAGGAGGCCCACCCACTCTCCTCAGCATTCAGGACTCTTGCCATGGTCTGGACTCCCCACTCTGAGTGTGGTCCCTGCTAGCTGCAGGACACCCCCATGGAGCATGTTAGAAGTGCAGAATCTCAGGCCTCACCCCAGACCCACCAAATTGGGGCCTGCATTTTCCCCAGGTCTGGGTGACGTGGGTGCAAAAGCACCGATCCTGCTGCTCAGAGGTGGCCTAACAATTCTCTCAGAGACCCCAGAAAGGCAATGAAATCTGTCTTAGAAAACAACAAACTATCTGAAAAGGCTATATGGACTGTATGATTCCAATTCTATGACATCCTGGAAAAAGCAAAAACTATGAAGACGGTAAAAAGATCAATGTTAGGGGTTTCCAGGTGTTAGGGGAGGCAAGATGGGGAATTGGGGCGCCAGGGATATCTAGGGTGGTGCTGCTTTTCTGCATGATATCACAATGGCGGCTACGTGTCACATTACATTTGTCTAAAGCCATAGAATGCACAACACCAGGCTGGAACCCTATGTAAAACTAATAATAATGTACCACGATTGGCTCATTGGTTGTAACAAAGACACCACACTAAAGCAAGATGTTAATAATGGGGGAATAATGGAGTAGTGATGAGGGGATAGGTGGGAATTTTCCATGCTTTCTGCTCATTTTCTCGTACAGCTAAAACTGCTCTAAAAAATAAAGCCTATTAGTGACACAACAATAGCAACAGACCATTGGGGCAATAGATATTCTCATACACTTTGGGGACATAACACTGTCCCTAAGTTGTCTTTATACTGTTTTGTCTAGCTCTGTGTGAACTGCTACTGTCGCTCTGCTTACTAAATCATAAGAGAATGTGAAATATGGCACAAATTCTAAAGAACGAGTGTCTACGATGATATATGCATCTTACACTTTCTGTTTAAATATGAATTTAATTACACAGAAAATTGTAACTGGCTGTGTGAATAACGTGGGCAATGGCTTTACATTTCAGAACTCACCTCCAGCAATGACAGCGTATTTGACATTAGTGCAATGACTTGACCCAGCGGGGAACTCCTGATTTCTGTTTACATCAGGGCAGGATGCCTCTAGACATGCCGAGGTTAGGAATAGTGTCAGAGGGGAGGCATTTTGGCAGTGGCCACACCCTGCTCAGCACCAAGTCCTTGACAACACAACCACATACAAATACACAAACAGACACATGATGTGAGGTGGTAAAAACGCTAAACGTATACACAAGAAGACTGTCTTTGGGACTGACAATTGATTCAGTCTCTCCGTGAATCTGGTCACAAATCCTGTTCCAAAATCATTTCGGTGAAGAAGGCAGGTGATGGTTTTAGAAGCGTCTTACAGCCCAGGCAGCTGGGAACAAAGACTGTCACACACTCTGCACAGGCTGTGTATCCTCTCTGGTGTGTCTCCAGATTTTCACTCATAAGACTATGTGCCGCCAGCCAGTGGTCATTAGTTAGCCAGGGATGTTAGGTTTTCTTTTCTGCTGGAGTCCCTGACTCCGTCTTCTTCACTGCTATGGAGTTTGTCTGAACCTTACTTTTCCCAGGGTTTGGCTTCTTCTGTTTCTGGTTGCTGTTCTGAAGGGATTTCAGCCCCAGCATTTTACAATACTTGTTACACTGGTGTAGTGCTTTAAACTGATCGATGAAGGTCATGGAACAGTTGCCTTTAAATCCTTTGTACCTGTAAGTGGGGTGGAAGGAAATATAATTTAAAAACTCAGGACATTTCACCAGTTTATAAAGAAAAATTTTTAAGGAGAAACTAAAGGTGCATGGAAATATATTTATTTTAGGCAAAAACAGGTGCACGATGGCCATACTATTATTGAAAAAAAAAAAAAACCCCTGTGAACTTAATTAAGTAAAGGCACAGATCCACTGACATGCATGGTAAAGATCAAAGGCCTATAATTAAATGAATGTTCCAGGAGCTCACAACTGCAGTATTACACCCTTTTCCTCCCAGCCATAATGACAAATATTAGGCCACTGTGATAGACATTAGATGTCTTAGTGATCTGAAAGTTACTCCATTCCCCCCCTCCAACTTTTTAGAACTTGGGAATGGACAGAAATTAGTTAGTTCAGATCTTTCAGTTTACAGTGGAAGGAATTTAGGCTGAGAGGTCATAGGTCTTGCCCAGGAAAGCCAAGCAAGTTGATTCAAGAGACAAGATTAGACAAGATTAGAATGCAGCCCTCTGTGTCTTCCTCCTGCAGCAGAGCTCTCTCCTAAGACATCCCACCTTAACGCCCAAAGAGAAGAATCTCTGTCCCTGGCAGAGCCTTGTCTCTGGCAGGCTCGAGAAGGGACCATGTTGACCCACGATCATGTTTTCACGTCCCAGTCATGATGGGCTAGTGTGTTCCTTGAATGCACAAGAGCCTAGGCCCCCAATCTCCCCATTCACCTACGGATGAGCACAGTCCATCAAAAAGCAGGTCAAAGGCTCAGGCTTCCCAGGCTCTGGGCAGCCTCTCTAAGGGGAGGAGGTTATTGCAGTTAATTTTGTTGCTAAAAAGTGACCCTGTAGGTCACCACTTGCCAGGCACCAGAAAACTCTCAAATTCTTTGTACACATTGACCCCAGCCACACCTCCAGGGTGAATGTCCATGCCAGCCAGATACGAGTGGCAATTTTTTGAGATGTCCCAACAGTCCCCCTTCTCACCATGGATGAGCTCCTTTGAATTTGCCTTCAACATGAATTCCATGGGAATAACATTGCTTCGAAGCAGCACATACATAAACCCACAAGGTCCACATTGCCTCGACTTGAACCCTCCCCATCAAAGCGTGCTCCACACTGCTACTAGAGCGCCCTCTACAGAACATAAGTCATGCCATCTCACTGCTGTTAAGGTAAAGGCAAAATTCTTTAATGTGCTGTGATCCTGCACTGTCTGGCCATGTCTCCAACCCACTGACCCTCTTTCAGCTATCAGAATTATCTGTGCCCCTCCTTCCCAGGGTCTGTGCCCACACTGTCCCCTCTCCATGGGAAGTACTTTTCTCCACTTTCTAGCTGAGCCCTGCTCACCTTGAGTTCTCAGTCACTGACTTCTTCTAGGAATCCTTTCCTGACCCACTAACAAAGTCCCACCCCCATCAGAGACTCTTCTGGGCCGTGGACCTCTCTTTCATAGCAGGACCACACACACACAATCTGACATCTGTGAGTGGATGTGGGTTAACGTCTGTCTCTCCATACACTCTGTAAACTCAGAGGTCAACACTGTTTGCTCACCCCTGTGTCCCAGCCCCCAACCCAGACCTTAGCAGATGGTAGCCACTTGGCAACTAAAGGATTATTGCTTTTAATGTTTGTGGTTGTTCAAAGTATTTTTTCCAGTTTTCTATCCCTGTGTTGATCTGCAGCAGTGCTGTGTCCTCTAAAGTGCAGTCCCACAGGAGGAAGGGACTTCCCTCCATCCTTTCTCTGCAGAGCACTTAGCCCAGTGCCATGCCAGAGGCTACAGGTTCAGCAGAGAACAAGGAAGACATTGACCCATGGCACTTGTCTAGGGAAGATCAGCGTCAAAGTTTTATAAAGAAATGCCATGAAAACAACGCAGGTGTGTCCTGCAGGCTTGGTAAGCCTGATGTTAATCAGTAGCCTCGCTCAGCTTCTGCCAAAATCTCCAAAATGGGAATGATGATAATACCTGAGGGGATAAAATGAGAAACTCCATATAAAGCACCTAGCTCCATGCCTGACACACAGTAAGATTCAGTTGATGTTGTTTGAGTGATTGCTACAATAATAATTATCAATATTATAATTGGAGCAATAGATGGGGACGTCCTATGAAGGGGACATTGAAGTTGAGCTTGAAAAGGAGGGGAGCAGGGTGTGCCTGGCAGGTCCCAGGGCAAAATGAACATATGCTCCTTGTTCAAAAAGTACTAAGTAAGAATTCCAAGACAAAGGCAAAGCCTTAAGCTAAAAACAAGGCCTTTCTGAGTGTGGCGTCTGTGCAGCTCACCCACCCAGGAAACTTGACTGCTGGCGACAGGAGGGTTCTGGATGTTTCTGATTAATGGGGCCAAAAAAGAAGTCTGCAACACTGGCACAACACAGATTCTGCAGCTTTTAGGGTGTCATTCAAGAAACAGGGCTTCTCTCATTGCTCAAAAAACCCATAAAGGTCAACACATCTGATGAATGCAGACTGTGCTTTTTTCCTGATCAATTCAAGCCGGTTTTAAGCTCTTAGGGACATGAAAGCTTTCTTTCCTCTCTGAAGCTAAAGCCTGCAGCCCCCCATCCTGACGTGTTTGCTATGAACCCATCGTCCCCCTCCTTTCCCTGCTAGGGAACTGCTCTGCCCCAGGGAGCCCACAGCCCATCTCCTCGTGAAAAGTGACTTGGTTTTTAAAAGCCAAGCTTCCTCATTGAAGAAAACATCAACCTAAGACAGAAGCTGGATGTAGCAGGCCAGAAACATTCCACTGTGAACCACATCATCTTTATCCTCCTTGGCAGGAGACCCCGAGAAAGGCTGAACAGGCCTGTCAGTGTTTCCTTCGTCCCTGGTGGGACACGAGGCCAGCGGGACCTGCATCGGTCAGCATGATGGAAGGCCCAGGGCCACTTCTGCTGGGTATTGGGGGCTGTGGCTGACTCCCACCAATCTTGAGCTTCTCAGACAAACTGGGACTGTCACAGGTGACGGTACAGTGGAAGCACGGCCCGGCATATGTGTCAGGACTGCCTTTTCAGCCTTTGGACAACATCTAGTCTCTGCAGAGAAAAATAACTAGTTGACACTGACCTTGCAGAAAGGTTTTTTTGAAGGCCGGGAGCAAATGCAAGATGACAAGTGAGCCCTGGTCTAAAGCACCCCCCTCTGGAATGGGTAAAGCTGACTTTGCTCAAAGCAGCATGACTTCTGGGTGGTCCCTGGGAACCCAGATTTCTTAGAGGATTTCGGGCTCCCTCTCTTCCTCCACTGAGCCTCTTTCCTTAGATCCTCGCAGAACAGCTGGGTGGCAGAGACAAGAGCTGGATTCTACTAAAGATGGCTGCACATGGGCACCGCGAAGCCCTGGAGCAAAGATGGCCTCGCACAGTTGGGGAGACCCTTTCCTAGAACCCCCACCCCCGCAAATTCCGGCCTCAGGGCCTTGTCTGTGGAGCACCACCTCTGCCTTCCCCACCCTGGGAAAGGATCTCCCCAACCTCTTCCCGGCCTCTTCTCGAGGACTGATCCACCTCTTGGAATCAGGGGTACCCGTAAACATCTCCCCATAGAGTGTGAGCTCTCCCAGGGAGCTGTACGCCCAGAACTCCTGTCTGGTGCGGGGCTTTTCAATAAACACTGAGGGAATGGATAACAGCCCCGTCCTCAGCACGACCTAACCCTGGCCCTACTCTTGTCCGTATGTCACATTTCTGAACTTTTCTTTTTCCATCTAATTTTGGATGAACTTATCCTCTCAGGCAAAGCTGCACTTCCCTCTCCCCAGCTTTCTCTGGTGCAGACTTTTACTTTTGCTACTCAGCATCTATAGAATTAAAAATCTCTTTTATTTCTGAGCTTGATCTCTGTTTCAGCCGGGATGTCGGGCTTCTGCTTTGATCTATGGTGCTTACAAGTGGCAGCCACTACCGCTGCCATTGCCCTTACCCAGGGAGAAAAGGAGGACAATGTCCTTCACATTTCTACACCAATTAACTCTAGAGTTGTTCAAAGGGCAATGAATCCAATTACACAAGGCTCATCTACCCAAGGAGTGGGAAGTACAGGTTTCTCTGCTTGTGACCCAGAGGGCATGACGCCCTCAAGACTTTCATGGTGCCTCTCCATGACCACCATTGCAGAAACTCTCTATTCTTTTTCTTGTTGGATAGATATACAGTACAGGGTTGAGTAGTATCCCTCCCCAGAGTTGTGTCCTTCCCAGAAGCTCAGAGTATGACCTTATTTAGATACAATTACCTAAGATGATGTCACACTGGAACAGGATGGGCCCTCAATCCCCTGTTGTCTAAGAAAAAAAAGACCCAGAGTGCAGGGAGGATGGCATGTGACAGAGGCAGAGGTTGGAGTGATGTGACTATACACCAAGGATTGCCAGGGACTGCCGAGGAAAGCCAGCAAACTCAGGAAGCCCAGAGAGGCCTGGGACAGACTCTCTAGAAGGAACCAATTCTGCTGACTCCGTGTGATGTCAGACGCATAGCCTCCAGCACTGTGAGATGACACATTTCTGTTGCTTTCTGTCTCTAAGTTAGTGGCCATTTGTTAAGGCAGCCCAAGGAATCTAATACAATGGACTAAAGAATCTTGTTCCTTGATACATTTTTCACATTTTTCCACTTTTGAAAACCTCATAGCTGTGTCAAACTTTACTAGATGGATCTTTTTATCCTTCACTTCCAATTAGTAAAGTTTTCTAGCCCATCTTTATGTTAGTCTGTCCAACCTCTCTTGCAATGCCCAAAAGTGGAGCAGTAAAATCATTCCACTGAGCAGCATTCAGTGGCGTCTTCTCTGGACCATCTTTCCCCTTGGATGGGAGCAGCGTACATGTATCTCCCAGGCATCTGCTCGAAATGCTGATTTGGAGTCAGTCCGTCTGGGTGGGGGTCTGAAGTTCTGCCTCCATAATAAGCTCTGAGGGACACTGTGCCTCTGGTCTGGGAATTCCACTTCTAGAAGCAAGGATGTAAACTA